ATGGGGAATCGAATGCCAACACTGCAGCCAAAGCAAGGCCTGAGGCAAACAAAGGGATTCCACATAAAGCTTCTGAGGCTTTTGGAGTCTCTATACCGACAGACTTCCATCAGGACTGCATGCCCTACCACCAGGCAATGAGCTGGTTACATACTTCCTTCAAATCTGTAACAATACACACCCAAAACAGGGGTTACTTTGTACCTGACACAAGGAAAAGATTGCAACATGTCAGCAGCACTCTATAAAGTGTCAACCATTACTGTGACCACCACCACTACTCTTCCTAATGTTGTTATTACCAAAAAACTACACATCACCAGCTCTTCAACAGTCAAAGCCCAACCCTGACTGTCATTTACACACTGTGATCGCTAGCCTTTAACCCCATCTTCCTAGGACTCCTCTAAAATGACAGTAATGAAATCACAAAGATATTAAATCACAAAGGGAAAGTAGACAACACCACATCAGATATTTCAACAAACTTTTGCATGATGTGCTCCTGTGTGCTTATTTAGTTGTGTTCTACTCTTTGAGACCCCATATGCAAGATGGGACACGACTGAAGGAGTGGTCAGTGCTTCTCAGGACCCCTGGAGGGACTCAGCCCTGGATGCACCAAGGGCCACCAAAGGCCAGCCTGAGGCTCTAGCCTGTCAAAGGGGGAGCCGCTGATGAGGGGCATTCAAAGCTGTTGGGCCCCCAGGTCTGGCAGTTAACCCAAAGTTTTTCTCTGAAGAAACGGAACCACAGAGGCAAGGGAGCTGTAAACAGGAGAAGTCAAAGCTTACAGTCTGAATAACGGCACCCTCCATCTCTCCCCAACCAGATAATCCAAAACCAGGCAGCTGATGTATCACCAAGCACATCTGATGCAGCAGACAGGAGGTGTTGTCTCTGCAGACAGTGACCAGTCCTAAAGAAGAGGTGAAGGTGCTGATACATGGGAGGAGGCTCCCCGTGAAAAGTCCACTCGCACCCCATGGGAGGCCAGGAGACTGCTCACACACATACACACAAGCTTGCTCTCCCCTAATCAACTTTTCAGAATCTCACTCTTAATTACAGACATGGAAGGATAAACAGATGTAATTTAAATGAACAGAAAAAGAACTCTGAAATAAACAGACACATTGGAGGAAGCAGAAGAAATATTTTTAAAATAATAAACATAGAGAAAAAAATTAAAAACAACATATGACTGAAAGATAAATGAAGATAATATATCCATAAAATTAGACTAAAATGAAATTGAAACAGGAAACAGAAGTTCTAAAATTTAAAATCATCATTAAAATTTTAAAAATACAACAGCTTAGAAGACAAAATTGAGAAAATGTCCCCCTCCTTCCACCTCCAAATAAGATATAAATAAGAGGCAACATAAGTTAAGGGTATCTGAAGATCAATTCCAGGAGATTCAATAACCAAACCAACAGATGTTTCGGAAACAAACAAAAAGTGATGGACAGAAAATTATCAGAAGTAACAGGCATTCTTTAAAACTGAAGGATATGAGTCTCTAGATTGAAAGGGCTCACTAAGACAAGAGGAACCACAGACAGGAGAAGGGGCCACAGAGAAGCTTATAAAATTACATAATTTCTTAAAGACAAAGACCCTAAGTTCAAAAAACAAGGAAAAAAAGCATCAGAATGCCTTTGGATTTTTCATCAGAAACCCTTAAAGCCAGGTAACTGTGAAAAATGCCACCAAAAGTAGCAAAAATATATGCATTTTTTTCTGTCTAATATGTAAATTCTGTCAAATCACCTAAAAGCACAAGGATAGGATAGACATCTCCAGACATACACGAGGATAGGATAGACATCTCCAGACATACAAGGCCTTAAATAATTTACCTCCCACGCAACTCTTCTCAGGAAGCTACTGAGGATACACTTTAACAAAATGAAGCAAACCAAAAAAAAAGAAAAGGCAGGAGATCCAGGGAACAGAGGAAAAGGGGACAAAAGAGAAGGGTACAGAATCTGCAGAGAAAACAAGCCTACCTGTTTTCTCCCTCCAAAACAAGGATTCTCTAAGAGGAAAACAAGTGGAACTGATAGGTGACTTGATGTGTTACTTGAAAAAAAATATCCAAAGGCATTTAATGTATTTCTTGAAGTGTATGAGAGAATGTAGCCATAGACACAGAATAGACTAATCAAAAAGTTTAAGTCTCTTATTTGTTCCTGGGGAAAAAAAAGTGTTTTGAAAAGAAAACATAACCATTTATGGGTCACCATTTAACTCAGAAGTGAATTTATATTTACGTGTGTGTGTATACATACATGTATACATACAATAATGTATAATAAACATTTATAATATAAATATATACACAATAATGTAAACACAGACTGATGGTTTTACTAAAAATGATGTAACTAAACACAGGGGTTTGGGCATGAGAAGAGGGCAACTGCTCAGTTATTATACTAGGATATCTACACTGATTTCAAAATACGAAAAGTGAAAAAAAACAGGGGAAAAAAAAGAGCTAGCCTGGGAAAGTAGCTTCCACTGGAAAGTAGGGCCTGGAAGATGAAAGGCCAAAAGCAGAAAACTATTGCTTTTTAAGTCTTTTAGCATTAATGATTTTTTTAAAACTATGTGCATGTATGAACTGCATTTAAAAAAAAAACTTACTCTCAAGTCAAAAACAATTAGACAATTTATGAAGTCACTACCAACTTCATTTATAAGTTTCACACTTGGCAATGCAAATTCATTGTCTTAGAAATATTATAAAGTGATGGTTAGTTTTTCAAATTAGTTTCTCAAATTTAGAAGGCACTTAAACCATAATGATACAAAAACATGACAAAAGCAGTCTTAGTAAGAGTTCCTATGGGAAACTGCATTCTGAGAACTCAGTTCGCCTGGTACACATCAGCCCCACCCACTTGCTCTTTCCCAGCCAGGAGTAGCCAAGGAATACTTTCAAGTTAGAATAGAAGAATAGATAAAGGAAGAAGAGGACCTGGATCTGTGCAGGATGGAGAGTCAAGTTGACTCTAACAGGTCAATTCTTTCTGTATTAAAGAAAATACTACAGGTCTCCCCTGTCCCAGAGGTGACTGAGGTTTTGATCAGCAAGGAAATTCTCCTTTCTTCCCAATGGCTCATTCCTGGGCATAAATTGGATGTTTATCAATCAGGTAACAAATACAATATTTCAAGTATAAATTAGCAATTATTCTTTTCCACCACACCATAATCAAACTTCTATTATAAATATCTTCATTTCATTCAATGAAACTTTGTGGTCTATATCAACACTACGTTTGATTAAAAAAAAATTACTAAATGTGTGGCCTTGACCAAGTTACTTCAAAGTCTCACTTTCTTCATCTTTAAAATGAGAATAATAATATTCACCTCACTGGGTCACAAGAAAATTAAAGAAAATAACGTGTATAAAACATGGAGGAGCAAGTATATGGCGGGCACTCCATGTCAGACTCCGGTTGTCCCCTGTCCCTTTCCTCAATCCAGTTCAGCTGCTCAGTCAAGTCTGACTCCTTGGGTCCCCGTGACTGCAGCATGCCAAGCTTCCCTGTTCTTCTCCCAGAGATGATTTCTTACATATAAACAAAGCCACAAACTATATACACATTTTTAACCAAAAAATCTTTACAAAATCATGCACAATATAGTATTTTTTAAATGAGCTAATTACTATCTTTAAAATATTATTTTTTAATTAATGTGATGGGTTAATTTATAAACAATATTTTTCCTAAACCTTAGTCTTGTTTCAAGCACTAATCCAATTTGCAATTTTCATTCAGCTAAACTGAATTCCGCTAATTCTGCTGGATTGCAAAGAGGATTTAGAATGGCAGGACATTACAAAAACACAGCATTCTTCTTTGGTTAAAGACTACAAACCCATATATGCAACAATGTCTAAACAATCTGCTTAAAAGCAATTCCATTTTAACACTAAGTCGACTTCAACAGGCTTCAAGAAAGTCTTATGACTTTAAAAAAACAGGATAAAATGACAGATAAAAGAATAATTTTCCCCATCAAACAGTCAGACGTACCACAAGTCTGAGATGAAATAAAGATGGAAAAAAAAAAACCAAACTGTGGCTTTTTGGCCCATAATACACAAAAGAAAGTGAATGTCTAGGTATCTGAAAGTACCAAAGACTTCCTATTTGGGGCCATTTCTATTAGACCTTCTTCTAAGGGGTTACCTTCCAGAATCCACAAAGTCATATTTTTCAAATTAATTCCCCAATAACAAAACTAATTAGGTAGAACAGAACCACCAGCTGACCCAAAGCCAAGTTCTCCTTTCCTTACAAGGTATTCAACGTATAAGAGTGGCCCAGAAATACAGGACCAGTCCAAACTCCAACATATCCAAGACAAAAACCAAAGTACTGAAGAAGCTAAAAGGTCTGGTACCTGGAGGTTCATTCACTATTATAAAATACGCTTATCGTCCCTGATCTGGAGACTGCCTCGAACAGGCAGCGCCCTTATAACCAATTTCTTTCATTTAAAGAAAATATAAATCTATGATTGCAGCAAAGTATCAGCACAGTAGTGTGGGCTCTACCAGGGCATCAAAATCACTTCGATACCTAAATAAAACGTGGATTTCGAGTATTCAAAATCCAGGGCCCTAGAGCGACACGTATAGGGTCAAAGAAACTTGGAGCGGCGGGGGAGTGCCTCTAGGGAATTAGGCGAAGGGCTGCAGAGGCTGTAAGCAGGCTGGAATGGAGTAGCTCGCCGGCGGCCGAGGGATCCCCGGGTCTTTAGGCGGCGTGGGGAGTAGGCCGGAAGGCTGGCCCGGGGTGTGAGGGCGGGCAGCGACCACACCTCCCCGGCCAACACAGCAGGCAAAGGCCGGGGCCCGGAGGCTACCCTGGGAGCTGGGACCGACCCGCCCGCGGTCCAGCGCGCGCGGACTGGGCCGGAAGCACCCGGGCCCGGGCCGACCTGCCCGCCCTGGCGCAGGCGTCCCCACTCACCGATGAGCCGGCGCACCTCGTCCTCGCTCAGGTAGAGGCTCACGCTGGGCCCCGCGGCCGCGGGCGGCAGCGCCGGGAGCCGCGAGGCCGGGGCGGCAGCGGCGCCAGGCGTGGGCAGCAGCGGCAACAGCGCGAGCAGGAGCAGCAGCGGCGGCGGCGGGGCCTTCAGGCCGCGGGTCCCCGGGAGGCGGCCCCGGCCCGGCGGCCCCGGTCCCGCCGTCCCGCGCATGGCCACCGCCGCCGCCGCTGAGGAGAAGCGTGGGCCGCCTGCTGCGCCGCCGCCGCCCACCCCCGGCCCCGAGCCCCTCACAGCCCCGAGCCGGGGGCGGCCGCCCAGCTCATCGCGCCGCCGGCCCGTGGCAGCCGGCCGCCGCTTCAGACCGCCGGAGCGCGCCCCCGCCGCCGCCGCCTCCTCCTCCTCGGCGGCATCCTCCGCTGCGGGGAGCGGGTCGCGGGGGCGCGCGCGCGCCGCCGCCGCCCTGAGAGCGCGCACGCACGCACCGCCTCCTCAGTGCGGGCCCCGAACCTCGCGAGGAGCCCTTTGCTTTCCCAGTAGCATTGCCGGCCCAGGACTCTCCGCTAACCCTTTAAAGGAGCCAGCCCTCGTCCCACCTTGTCACCAGCCTGATGTTTGCTTGCCTATTGTCTGTAACACACACACACCCGCCCAGGATGGAGGGTCGTGGCAGGCAGGCCCAGGCCGCGCCTGCAGCCCACCGGCCTCCCAAATCCAGGGAATTGCGTGGATGCGGCCGTGGATTGCAAAAGAGAAACATGCTTTTCGTTTGGAGAGGAGATGGAGACAAATAGAAATCACCTTTTATCCTACCAGCAGAGGTCAACATTAACATTTCTGTGTCTGTCTTCATGAGTATATACTATATACATTTACTTTCCGAGATCTTGTTCAGCAAACTTTTTAACCTCATTTCTACATGTGACAAATTTTTATTTTTTAGAATCATCCTGCATCTCTATAATCAAGCTGCATTTGGGGTCATTAACATATGGTCCTTGCTGGACTTTGACAGCCCCCCCCCCATATGAAATTGTGTGCAGAAGTGTGTGCTGTGTAGGCTTGAGCACACACAGAAGTGATATGGACATCTCCTCAATTGTTGTAGGGAGTCCGTGTCCCTCAAAGAGGTTAAGAATCACAGATACACCTCGTCTTTTTGAAAGGCGATCCAGCGAGCTGGCGCACCTTGTGATGTACTGACGTGTCGCAGTGAAACCTGTTCCAGATGCTGCCTGTCTTCTGGAGGCTTCCAAGCATACTTGCCGTTCTGGGTCACCTAGTCCCTGTAGGCAGGTCCCTGCCTTGACCCCTTGTACTTCCCACTAGTCCTGCGCCCCTACCAACAGCTGCTTCCCTCCAGGCCCAGCTTCAGCCAGCAGTTGCTGCACCAGCGGTGAGCCCCTGAGAGGCTGCTATTTTTATCCTCTGGGGAGGGTGGGGGAAGTCCCAGAACTTGGTATTCTTCTCTATGGAGAGGGATGGATTCCAATTAAACTGGCCTTGATAAAGGGTTTCCCAGGTGGCCCTAGTGGTAAAGAACCCACCTACCAATGCAGTAGATGTGAGAGACATGGGTTCAATTCCTGGGTTGGGAAGATCCCCTGGAAGAGGGCATGGCAGCTCACTCCAGTATTCTTGCCTGGAGAATCCCATGGACAGAGGAGCTGTGCAGGCTACAGTCCATAGGTTCGCACAGAGTTGGGCACCACTGAAGTGACTTTAGCATGCACGCACACGCATGGCCTCGATTTGTCAAGCCTCAGCTCCCCAGCACAGAATACTGTGCCCATGGAGGCTGGGCAGAGGGTGGGGGTTGAGGAGGAGTGCTCCACCAGAGAACATAAAACTGCAAAGGTCAGAAAAAATACTTCTCTTGGGGCAGCCACTGCTACCTGTTAGGGGACCAGGGCTATGTCAAGAAGAATGGTTTGGGGCTGGGAATGTTTTCTGTGAACAGGCTCTCAAATCAGATAGGCAATGTTTTCTTAATGGATGGCATCTTCCCAGCATTTTTGAAAATGATTCACAGTCCCCAAGTAAGGAAGCTCCAGTTCTCAAGACAGTCTCCTCCTATCAGTGACTTCTTGAGGTAGGGTGTGATGTAAACAAAGCACAGAACTGTCTGGCAATCAGGCTTGGTGGGATTCTGGTACTTGACCTTGGGAAAATTACTTAAATTCGCTGAGCCTCTGGTTTCCTCATTCATAAAATAGAAGTGATCATGCCACACTCACAGGGCTTTTACAGGATTTAATTGACCAAGATGTCAATAAAACACTTAAGCAGACACTGGAGTTGGTGGGTGTCACATCCATTGTTAGTGTTATTATAATTAATCTCTTCCCTCTAATGACCACTTCCTGGAAAGTTTCATCAACAGTTACCTTCAACTATTCAAACCAGGGATCCTCAAGACCATTCAGTGTAACACCACACCTACCCCAGAGCCAAGTTCAAGTCATTAATGGCAGGCATCACGATTGGCCCTGGGACACCAGGAGCTTCCTTAAGGATGTATTAGGTTGATGCAAAAGTAGTTGTGGTTTTGGATGGTGAATTTTAAACCATTATTACTAGACTCAAAAATAGCTTTACTAATCAAAATAGAAACCATCACAATCAATACATTTTTGCCAATGAGAAATAAGTTTTTTATTCCTGTAGCAATAAAAATCTGTGCTTCAGGATTCAGTGAACTCTTGGAAAGCATTTTCTGCCTCCTACTGGTTGTGGAAGCATTTTTCCTGCAAAAAGTTTCTGAGTTTCTTTAAGAAGTGGTAGTCGGATGGCAAGAAATCAGGTGAATATGGCAGATGAGGCAAAACTTCACAGCCCAATTTGTTCAGCTTTTGAAGTATTGGCTGTGTGACAAGTGGTCGGGTGTTGTCCTGGCAAAAATTGGGCCCTTTCTTTGGACCAAAACCAATTTCAGGCATTGCAGTTTTTGGTGCATCATATCGATTTGCTGGGCATTTCTCAGATGTAATGGTTTCACCAGGATTCAGAAAACTGTAGTGGATCAGATATGGGCAGCAGACCACCAAACAGTGACCGTGACCTTTTTTCAGTGCAAGTTAGGCTTTGGGAAGTACTTTGGAGCTTCTTCTCAGTCTAACCACTGAGCTGGTATCACTGGTTGTCATATAAAATCCACTTTTCATTGCATGTCACAATCCGACTGAGAAATGGTTCATTGCTGTCGAGTAGGATAAGAGAAAACAACACTTCAAATGAACGATTTTTTTTTTTTTTTTTTGGTCAGCTCCCGAGGAACCCACTTATGGAGCTTTTTCAGCTTTCGAATTTGATTCTAATGCCAAATAACCATAGAATGGTCGACGTTGAATTTTCAGCAACTTCTTTTGTAGTTGTAAGAGGATCAGCTTCCACGATGGCTCTCAATTAGTCTTTGTCAACTTCGGATGGCCGGGAAATCTCAAGGCTCTCGTCTCCTTTGCAAAACTTCCCAAACCACCACGGTACTCTAAGTTCATTAACAGTTCTCAGGCCAAATGCATTGTTGATGTTGTGAGTTGTCTCCACTGCGTTATGACACATTTTGCACTTGAATAAAAAAAAAAGTCAAGTTTGCTTTTTGTTTAACATCATTTTTATAATCTAAAATAAATATAAACAGCAAGTAATGTCATTAGCAAAAAACATGAAGTGAGAAATGCACATTAAAATGATGTATCACATAACCCACATTTATTTAAGAATGTGTTCCATTATCAAATGGCAAATTCAACAATGCAAAACCACAATTACTTTTGCACCAACCTAACAGGATAAACATTTATTGCACATTTTCATCAGCGCAAGGAAGAAAAAGCTAGTGGTTGTCAAATTATGGTTCCCAAAACAGTAGTTTCCATCTTGGAAGGAGGGAAAATGCTAATCCCTCGGCCCCACCCCAAACTAACTGAAGAAACAACTTCAGAGCTAGCAACACAGAAAGACATGGTATGTATATTTCATCAGCAGCTGGAAGCACTGCTCTGTCCTACTGTGGAGCAGTTGACTTCTTAAACCTTCTTCTTCCATTTCGGTCTGAATAAGTCAAGTGTCACTGAGGTCCTCAGAGGGAAATATGAACATCCTCCTTGACACAAGTCATCAGCTCTCTCCATCACCTCCCAGTTTGGTGTATGTTCTTATAGCCCTTTCTCTAGACACTTAGCTACATATATTAGACACACAACTATATGTATGTGTGATTTCTTTTAGTTTTACAGAAATGGATTATTGTTGACACTATTTGCTTTCTTCCCTGGTCAAAATGAATTGAGGTCTTGAGGGTGCTTGCTTGACAGGACACAGAAGCATTTTAGTTGCAATGGTTATCGTTGTTGTTCAGTTGCCCATTTGTGTCTGACACTTTGTGACCCCATGGGCTGCAGAACACCAGGCCTCCCTGTCCCTCACCATCTCCAGGAGTTTGCCCAAGTTCATGTCCATTGCATTGGTGATGCCTTCCATGAATGTAATCTAGCATGCAATGGACAATGCTAGATTTCATAGATCTGGTGATGGACCACATATCCTTTTACGTGCAACTCTGTGCACATATTCAGAAGGGAAGATTCTCAGAAGTGGATGTGCTGAGTTAAAGGGAGTTACCTTTTAATGTTGATAGATTCCACTGAATTGCCCTCCAAAAGGCTTTACCAGTGTATACTTCCACCAGTGGCATAAATGAAAGAAACAACACAATATGTCAGGTTTTTTTTTTTTAATGAGTTTATTCAGGATCAACAAAGAATTTTTTAAATTTATTAATTAGTTTGTTTATTTTTGGCTTTCCTGGGTCTTTGTCACTGCAATGTCTTTCTCTAGTTGCGGGGAGCAGGTGCCACTCTTTCTTGTGCTGTGCGAGCTTCTCATTGCAGTGGCTTCTCTTGTGGAGCAGAGTCTGTAGGCGCACGAGCTTCAGTAGTTGCAGCCTGCAGGCTCAGGAGTTGTGGTGCCCCAGCTGAGCTGCCCTGAGGCATGTGGAATCTTCCCCAATCACGGATTAAACCTGTGTCCCCTGCACTGGCAGGCCAATTCTTATCCACTGTGCCATTAAGGAAGTCCTGTCAGGGTTTTTCATTTTGCTTTTGACAGGCTGGTGAAAGAAAAAATAACTCCTTTACTCTGGGTTTCCCTCATTACTGGTGAGGCTGAGCATTTTCTCATAGGTATTTGTCAACCATTCAGTTTACAGCTTT